GCATACCAAAGTTAAACATAGAAAATTCAATTTCATTAAATTAAGTACTGCTTATTTCAGTTCAGGTAAATGAAAATATATTTTAAAAAAGGAATGAGATAAATACAAACTATTTTTTAAAATTTTTATTCACAAATTTAACTAAGTTAATTGTTCATCACCAGAATCAGACAAGAAAACTCTAGAAAACATGTTAACAGTAAACATTTGATAGAATTGCCAAATGGAGAGGGAAGAGGTATATGGGATGCTCAACAAGTACTAGCATCTCTGGAGTAAGGGTTTGCTGAGCACTTTTCAGCATCGCTCATTTACCTTTGGTGTCTACCTGCCACTCAACTCTCACCAGTGTCTCGAAAAACCCATACTGTGTAAAGTGGTCACACCCTGGCAAACTGTCTTAGCGGATGGGCTCAAGTAGATTGATGGTGACTGAAAAGCCTCAAATCCATAAGTGAGTTAAGGGAGAGGATGTGCCTCCCTGCAAAGGCTTCCTTGTTATAGTGGGTGCATGAGGATAATTTGTTCAAAGGCCACGAGAGCAGCTAAAAAAGTCATTGTGGAGTGCACAGAGCATGATCAGATGTTAAAGATAGCAAGACGTCTATTGCATCCATCACTAGTCATCCTGAATTTTGTCTTGCCACTGGACTTTGATGATGCTGGAAGAGAAAGTGAGGCTGAAGACTTTGTATAATTTTGGTGCAAATCCGATTCATGCACAAGTCAAGACATCATACTATGATGTCATTTATACTCTTTTAAAACAAAGGACAAAGAACAACAACTAGGTTACAGTATAAATTTCTGCACATTTTTATAAAACAAAACAAAACAGGATTACTGATTTCATGAGCACCGCTGTTTCATAAAACGAAGAAGAGCAGTGGAATCCAAAAACAATTTAAAGAAAGGCAGGCAAGATATACACATAATTAAAATTATCCCGAAGTCTTTCAAGGATGAAAAATGATTTTTTTTAAAGAAAAAATATTTTAAAAAATAACTAGGATGAAGCAATACATTCCAGTTATCATTTAACTTCTCCAATAAAGATCTAAGAAGACCACTAAACTGAGTAGAGATGGGGAAATCCAAGGAAAACCACAATGGGCCATCTTTCTTGCACATGAGCACAAATTGAATAAGTAGGCAAGTAGAACGTGGCTGTAAAAAGACTCAGTCATATTATACTTATCCCAGGGAGAGGAATCTTTGTATTATGTATATTATCACCTTCCACTGGTCATAGAAACCCTTTTGCTCTGAGATGAGGGGGGAGAGAGAGAGAGAGAGAGAGAGAGAGAGAGAGAGAGAGAGAGAGAGAGAGAGAATTGCAGAATCATCATCATCATCCTAGGCAAAGAACAAGAGTAAGTGAATTGTGCCATCATTTGGAAACCTTTGGAGGCTTCCAGGTTGCTGGGAGAATGTGGAACCAATAGTGACTAAAATAGTTCTGCAAGTCTGAAGCTGTTTTTCATCATCACAAACCAGGTACAAGAGCCCTACAATAACTTTCCTGTTTGTGTCATGGGTAACACTGTTCCTCTAGCCACGCATATTGCCAACACAGGTATCTTCATTGATTTGTGACTTTTTCACCCTTATGTATTTAATCTGTTGCCAAGTCCTGTCAAATTTCCCTTCATAGTAATTCTCGTGTATCACCCCTTTCCCCTCTGACAGTGACACTAAGATAGTGCAGGGCCAGCCCCATCTTTATCATCACCACTGATTTTAACGTCCAGAGCTAAGTCCTTTACAACTATCCTCCCATTTGATCCTCAAAACAACCCTGGGAGGTAAAAGCGATTTTTATCCTTATTCTACAGATGGTGAAACTGAGGCAAACAGAAGTTAAGTGACTTGCCCAGGATCACACAGCTAATAAGGGTCTGGGCCCATATTTGAACTCAGTTTTTTTTTTCAAACTCTTGCTGTAGCACCCATTCCCACTTCTCTACATAGATGCACTTAACAGCCTCTTAGTGGATTTTTTATTTTCCCTTCTAATATTTCTCCATAGCGCAATTTTGTCTGCAGTATGGTCACTTAGACATCCAATTGTTCCTAAAAGTAACATTCTTTTTCTTTTCATTCAAAGCCCTTCATAACCTGGCCCCCTCCTAACTTACATCTTACTGCCACCCCATCCCAAGACCCATATACTCTGTGACACATGGTATCGTCTCTATTGCTGCTCCTCAAAGAAAGCATACCATCTCCTGAGTCTGAGGATTTTCACTTGACTCCATGCTCAGAATTTTATTCCTATTCTTCTTCTGACCTACTTGGCTTCCTTGAAGTACCATCTAAAATCATACTTTCCTCAAGAAGACTTTCCTGATCTCCATTAATACTTTCCTTTTTATCTTAAATTTATCCTGTATGTAACTTATTTTATGAATCAAACTCTATATGAGCTTGGAAAGATTGTTTTCTTTTTTCCTTTTTTTTTGGGGGGGGAGGTTATTTTTTTTTATCACTTTCTCTGTCCCTGCTTCTGTTTCTGTGTTTATCTCCCTCTATTTTTCTCTCTTTCTGTTTTTGTCTGTTTTTTTTCATCTCTCCTCTCTTCTCTTCTCTCTTACTCTACTACACTTTCAAATGGATATATGATTCCAAGAATTGCTCATCTCCTCAAATGAAAATCCATGGTTTCTGATTCAATGAAGTATGAGAAGTTCTTTCCATCTCCATCTACTCTACTCCTTTCCCTTTCTAGCTTTTTCTAAGATCCAGTACTCTTTCATGGTTAATGAGATTTCACATAAATATTATTTTTGCCTTTCAATAATCCTCATACCAGGTTATATTTACAAAAGATAATTAGTTTTTTTCTCCTTTGCTCACATTGATTAATGAAGGTTTTAGATACCCACATCTCAACCTTTCTCTCTTTTTTTTAAACCTTCATGTGTAAATCAATGAGTGAAGCATTTAAGTCCTTACTAGCTGCAAATCACAGTGCTAAGTACTGGGGATATAAATAGAAAAAAATAAAGCAGTCCCTTCCCTCAAGGAGCTCCCATTCTAATGGAGGAGACAACACATATAGAAGGTTTTATTTGGATGTCACATGGAAAATTCCCTTAGTCTTCAGGGTAAAGTGGCAAAGAATGTTTCTTCTTTATTGTCATTGGCATGGATGTAATCATATCAGTTTCTGTTGTTTAATTTTTGTCAAAGCCAAAGACTTTGGTGACAAGAACTTTCTTTTCTTGATATTCAATAGATGTAGTTATAGTGTCTTCAGAAATGGTTATTATTCCAAAATCTCTTGAGTTTGGGATCCTGAGCTATTTCCATCATGGTCTGAGGGGAAATCATTGTTAAGTTGTTCATGTTGATTTTATTTTCCTGGCACATCTCCTGGAACTTCATCTCTCCTGTCTCTCTATCAGGCACTTATTTCTGTTTAGCTATGCAGGTTTATCTCCAAGATAAATAATGGTGGGTGCCAATCCATGAAATAATTGGTTTCTTATCAATAGAAACTGACTCTCTTGATGATGGCCGTAAAGCTTGGGCTAGAAGTAGCCTTGGTTGTTGGAGGCCAAGAGAGGGTGATGCCAACCAAAAGCTATTGTACCTATCTGCAATTGGTCAGGTGTCACTGCTTGTTATGATGAGGAAGATGAGACCTTTCTCTAAAATTATTTCTTCCCTTAACAAGAACTACTTGGGCTGGGCTGGAAGTAGGTCTTGTGGCTTGGAGGACACTGCTATTCCCAAGGCTTTTGGGTTCAGAGTTCTGAGCTGTCTGCATCAGGATCTGGATAGAAATAGTGGGAAAGGCTGTGGTAGAGTTTCACCTGGCCTGAGAGATACTGCGTCCTCTCTCTGTCTGTCTTACATTGTTATGCTACATCATCTAGGCTAGCTCATCTTCCCTGTGAATGGCAGTTGATTAACAGTTGGTGGACAAGGTAGGTCCCTTAGCCATTGGAGTTGATATCTTGATTTATAGCTTTCAGGTCCAGGCTGTCAGCAGAACCATTGATGTGAGTGGTATTGAAAATCCTAGGGCTCTTGTATGAACACTCATTCTTTGATAGATTAATGCACAATTGAGACAAAATTGTTAGTGGGAAGAACATTGTGTATGAATTCAGAGACCCTGCCATTTATCAATCGCATGCCTTTGGGTAAGCTATTTAAATAATTTGTATCAGAGACTCACTTCCCTCACACTCTATACACAAAATAAAGGAGCTAGATTAGGCAACATCCAAGGTCTCCTTCATTTCCAATAGTTTTTTCCTTATTAACTTTCTTTTCTTCCAAAATTATTTCAACTTATAAAATAATTTCTCTTTCTCTTCCAATGGCTGTGGTCACAAAAACCTTTTCCTTTTGCTCAATGGCCTTGAGAGAAGGCAAAACTTCTAAAAGGAACTGCCTTGCTTATTCAAAAACCTTACAAAGAATGAAGAAGTCATTTCATACCATGTAGAAATAAATCAGATTATACTGAAGTAAGTGATTCAATCTTCCCTCTGTCATATTTTAACCCACAAATAGTTCATCTGTTTTATGTTCTATTAGAAGTTTTGTTAACCTTACTGATATCTCTGCTGGGAATGTTTCAGTTCTTTCCTTGGATTTAATCCAAAGTTCATCTCTGCAAATGCTGTACTGTAATAGGGGAAGGATGTGTTCTAGGATAACAACATCAGTGTTTTTGTATTCTTTCTAAGTCCTTGGGCTAGAATATTTGGAGGGGTGGAATCACCCTTGATCAGTGTGTAGAACACTATCATTGGCTAGATTAGCAGCATTTATCCACAGAGCCAATTAATTAATCAGTAAGTATTTATTAAGTACTTACTATATAGGAAAGGCTATACTAGGTGATGTGGATATGAAGACAAACATCAAATAATTTCTGGTCAGAAAGAACTTATATTTTATTAGTGGAGAAAACATGTACACATATACATATATTCTATATATATATGTAGGTACACACATATGTATACATATAGATACAGATATCAATTAAAAAATGCATTGTTGCCTATTAATTTCCTGAGAGTTTCCTTCACATCTTTGTTCCTTAAACTATATATTATGGGGTTTAGCATGGGGATCACTACTGTATAAAAAACCGAAGTCACTTTGACTATAAGCCATGAGCTTTTGGAAGTGGGTACACAGTACAGAAAGAGAATGGTCCCATGGAAGATGGTGATAGCAGTTAGGTGGGAAGCACAAGTGGAGAAGGCTTTCCGCCTCCCACTGGCTGAACGCATCTTCATGACAGTGACAAAAATAAAAAGATAGGACACGATAATGATTATAAGGGTGCTTAATTCATTGAAATTGGCAAAGATAACAAGTATCATTTCACTAAAATGCCTATCTGAGCAGGAAGCAGAGAGGATGACAGAGTACTCACAAAGGAAGTTATTGATAATATTAGTCCCACAAAAAGACAATACAAGGAGAGAGTACATGAATATTAAGGAAGATATTATTCCCCATGAATATGCCCCAGCAACCAGCAGTGCACAGAGTTTTTGAGACATGGCAACTGTGTATAGCAGAGGATTACAAATAGCCACAAAGCGGTCATAGGCCATCACTGCCAACATGAATGTCTCTGTCACCACAGATGTTGCAGTAAAAAAGAACTGTGTGATGCATGCTGTAATAGAGATCGTTCTATCTTCCACAAGTAAATTCTCTAATAGTTTGGGGGTAACTACAGTAGAGTAACAGAAATCCACAAAGGACAAGTGGCTGAGGAAGAAGTACATGGGAGTATGAAGTTTGGGGTTGATCTTGATGACCACAATCATGCCCAGATTCCCTACAACAGTTACCACATAAATGGTCAAAAACACCAGGAAGAGAGGGATTTGAAGATCTGGGTAATCAGAAAATCCTAGGAGTACAAATATAGCTGCAACAGTCTGATTTCTGTCAGCATTCACCATGGTCCCCGCAGGAAGGAATTAGAAAGTTTATCTTTAAAAACAGAACTTTTCTTTAAGAAGAGTGGAAGACAGCTTGAGGGGTGGGTGGTTTGGTGTTGCTAAATCCAGCTACAGGGTGGAGAAAGACAATTGTTAAATTTTCCATGCAAGCATTTACAACTTGGAAATTAGCAAAAGCCACAAGTCATAGCTTGATACACTGGGTTGTTGACTGTTGGACCTAAGACAGTAACGTATAAAATGTTAATACTGCAGACTAAACTTTTCAGAAACAATTGTTAGATATTTATGACTACTGGAGGAAAGTCATGCAGGGTGGATAAAGTAGAAGAGAGAAATAGGTGTGTTGTGTATAATAACCAAGGGAGAAAAATAAAGAAATATCTTCAAAACTGGTATTGATATTTAATGGTCTAAAATATACTATGGTAAATACTTTGACTTGGGAGAAGAGACAGCACATATAGATTGTGAACTGATTGTATGTTTGAGTGAAATTAGAGTACGAGTTCTTAATTTCTGTCTGGTAAAATACATAAAATAAATGGCATGTGATTTACAAGATCACTTATGTTGAAATGAAGATAAAATTGTCTTCCTAAGCTTTTCCTACCCCTGGACTCATTTGGCAATTCTGGTGATTTTTCTCAGGGGGAGAAAATCTCGTTCATTCAAAACTGAAGAAAATGTTAAATTTTAGTTACAGCAGAATGGAAAAAAAGAGGGAGTTCCCTGTCCAATTTCATACAACCCCAGAAGTCTACCCATGGACTCCAAGATAATCCCTGTCTTGCAGCAAACAATTTAAAAACATTCAAGAAGGTTGTAACTCTATACAGAGGTTCAAAATGATATAAAGATGATGCAAACATAAATCATGAAGATTTTGACTGGGGTGTATATATATAGTAGGGAAAAGAAGAGAAGAAGGTATGATATTCATGGAATTCGGTAGGATTCTGAGGATAAAAAGATAAGGTCAAATATATTCATATGCACATATACAAGTATTCATGGGTAAGGAAGTAAGAGAGGGTTATATATATGCAAAATGTCAAATTAGTAAAATCCTGAAGAATAATGCTTCCCATTGTTTCTTTTGACATAGAAAGATTAATTAAGTCAAGTAGAAGATTGACTGATCAATCTTCCACTGCTGTCACTGTAATGAGTCAGCATTCATGTTCCCCAAGGTATCAGTACTAGGAATTCAATGGCGTTGATATCTGAATATCTCCATTGAACTGATATTCGCAAACTCACATCAGTTATACTTATACCTTAATTTCCTATTTCTTATCAAGGTCTCTCCTAATCCAAAATTACTCTGTGATTCCCCTCTGTCCTAAAAAAAAATCTGGATTTTTTTTGTTGTTGTTGTAAGCCTTGAATATGTGAAATTACTGTTCTTGTATTTTGTGTACATTCTTTCGGAAAAGAGATGCCTTTGATTACTATAATAAACTTTTTGTACATTATCCATATCAAGTATGAATTCATAAAAAATAAGAATTCTTGATTTTTTGTCTTCTTCTTATTATTAATCATTATCATCATCATCATCATTATTAAGCAATGGGTAATATAAAATGACACACCAGATCAACAACAATAAACAGTAAGAACAGAAATTATGGTCATTATCATATGTAGCATAGAATATTTTAATCTTTTTTTGTTCTCTCTCATTTTATTTAAAAGAATTTTCATGTTTTTGCTCAGTATAATGGAATTGGTAAGTGTAATAGCCAAATAATCTATGGGGCAAAACTAAAAAAGTCTGAATAATAAGCTTTCATGAAAATTAAGAAGTTAAGATTTCTTAGACTGTCATTCAAAGCCTTCCAAAATGTTTACATTCCTAACCTCCAAAATTATACGTATATATATTCCCAGCCTTGGTTACCTTTATTGAAATACTATTCCCATTTGTAATACCCTCCATCCTCATTTTCATATATTTAGGGGTTCACTTTCTATAAAGTGGACTCGAAATTACTCCCTTTTCCCTGACCTCTTAGCCCCCAATGACTACCCCGTTCTTTCAGTACATGGAGTGGTTCCTACCTTTAATATTCACGGTTGATTCAGCATATATCGATTTTTATTCTTAATAGGGATAGGACTAGATTTATGATTTCATTGGTATAAGGAATTCTCAATTAAGGATCTTCCCTGTGTCTATGTAGACTAGTGCTTTTTTCCTGTATTTTATAGTCTTAAAGATTTGCTTAGAACACAGGGATGTTAAATGATTTGCCAATGGGCATAAAGTTAGTATATAACAAAAGTGGGATTTAGAAGCAGGTCTTCCTGGCTTTGAAGCTGGCTTTCTATACACTATACCAAGTTGTCTCTCATATTATTATACTATATATAATATTATAATATGTATAACATTTCCAAGAAATATATTTAGCATAACACACTTAATGTAGAAAATAACACAAATATCTAATATAAAATTATGCTATACGTAACGATTGGATAGATAGATAGGCTTCTTTTTCTCCATCTACCAACTCCACACTTAAACCTCTTCTTGAATGAAAGTGATCCTGGGCTTCAGAAAGTTAGGCCAAAAGAGCTCAATATCTGGCGAAGCCTAGCAAGCTGGAATGACTCCAAGTACAAGACAATGGGAAACAAATGGCTTGCTGTCTGAGAATCAGACATTCTATGTTTAAATAAGCTTATTATTGTTTCAGTGACTACTGGATAATGCAATCTTTGGCTACAATAAGTCTTTGAGATGATTTGTGATATGTACTATTACGATTTCAGATTGGTCAACCATCAAGCCAGAATTTCTTTCATCTCCAAATAAGCTTTGAGTCTCTTGAGCACAGGTACTGTGTTTAATGACTCAGGGCTTGACTGCATTGTCTTCTTAATAGATAGTCAATAATGTGTATTGATGATGCTTTTTCTTAACATTTTAATTCAACACCTGCAACTGTGCCCTGTCAATTTCTTTCTCATTTATTAGAAAAGGTCATGAGCAAATTAAAATTATGCTGTATAATTTAATAATTAATTGACCCTATTTTCCATTTTCTTAAACCCCTTTTCTCAGTTAAGTACAAAACCTTAGTCTCTCCCAGTCTGAATTAAATGGATGGTTGAATGATGTGATAAAACCTAGTCCTACCTCATATACCCACCGCATTTTCTTTCCAACTAGTTTAACTTGGGACCTCTGCTTTATTTTCTGTAAAAAAAAAAAAAAACAAAAAAAAAACAACAGTTTAGGCCAAGTCCTTCCCTAATGAATTGTTCTTCTGCTTTAGTCTCTCCTTTTAAAACCATAAGTGGTTTGATCTCCCCCAAGGGGAGGTCCTGATTGGGGTGGGTTCTGAGAAGCTGTTGAGGCCCATAAAGCAATTAACATTCCTTAATTGTCAGAGAAGAGTGTTATTAGCCACACCTGACTGCTGAGTGACCCACTTTCCCAGGTGGAGGAAATGGCAAGGCTTCTCGACTACCCTGTCTCCCATCTCGGTCACTGACTTAACTGAAGGGGCCAGTCTGATGTATACACACCAGCATCAATCAATAAACGCTTACCTTGGTTGGAGAAAATGTGCCTCAGTTTCCCTGTTGTTGGCATTTTGTGTGCCGCAGTCATAAAAGAAGAGTATCCCAGACAAGGGAAGAAGCAGCAAAGCCCAAGCGTGCTGACTCCACAGTTTGTGGGCTCACATGGAATACGTATTTCCTAGCTCCCTGGTTCTGCCACAAATAAGCCTGTTGGTAAAACATTCGCGTGATTAATAAACATCCTGGAAAAAAGTGTGCTCAGCCTAAGGCCAGTAGGAGACACATGTGGTATATTCCCACAGAAAACTGTAGCAATCTTCATTGCATACACAGAACAAAATCCACACTATTTCATAGCTAAGCTAAACTTGGATGACTTAAGGAAAGATAAGCCACCTTGCCGAAACAGAGGCAAAAGATGGGGACAATACTGTATAACTTAAATTTACCTCCAAACCTTTGGAGACCCAGAGCCTAGAGAATCCATTACTGAGGTTTTGGTGTTGTTATTTCTGTTTCCTCCCTTCCCATGGGGCATAAAATAAGTGATTAGATATAGTGCCATTTCTCCAGTGTTTTCTTTACAGACGAGATGTCCTTGAAATCACAGAGGAAGTGTCCAACTTGAGAATTATTTTCCAACTGCCTTATTTCTGGCTGGTTCCAATCTCCTTCACAAACATTACTGCAGATCCTTCCCAGGATGATGCAACAGTAAATCGTTGTATGGAAAATATAACACCACCGACTTTCATGATTTTCCTCTGGAAGTTCTGGGAGTTGATCTGCAAATAGCGTTAATGGGAAAGAAAGCATACTGAAAAATATGTTTGGGTAATGTTGGGTATTCCTTCCTTATTGGGTTACTTGTCATCAACATGCAATAAAAAAATCAACTTAACAACACTCAATTCAATTCCATACAAATGAAATTAATTGGAGTTGAGAGAGTGAGGTCAGAGTGTGAATATAAAAAAAGTGCTTATTATGTGCAGAGTTCAAGTATAGTAGGTGAGGGATGAAAAATGATTTATATGCTTCAATTCAACAAGCATTTACTATATTTCAGGGACTCTTTGTATTTATCCTGTATGTACAACTTGCTGGCCCCACCAAATGATAGGCAATAAGGGTAATAAGGAAGGAAGAATGGAGCATCCTTTGGTGCTAAGCCAGGGTAACTAGACTGATTTTGGTACTTTCAATAATTTAGAAAGAGGGGAAGATCTGAGGAAAAAGGAGTAAGGTTTTTATTTTGAAATGGAGAGTATATCATATGTAAAGTTGGGTGATATCCGAGAGGCAGTTAATGGCCCTAGACTAGAGCTAAGAAGAAATGTAAATGTTAGCTATGTAGATCTTTGAATCATCTGCGTAGAGGGCCGGCTCTGGGGAGTTGGAGGGCTCCTTCGTGGCACATCTGCATGTAGATAACCAATGAGATCTAAATAGGTCACCAAAAGACAACATAACACCTTTGGTCTTGTAATATTAGAGTCTAATGACTGGTAAATGGTGAACTGCATCCTATGTCTCTTCTCTTTTCCTTTCAAAGATCACTGACAATGACTCAGAAACTTTTATTTGCCATTTTTTCCCCCAGTACCGTGAATGTAGTTTGTCTGAGTCAGGTGCATTTAATTCATAAAGACAAGTTTCTTCTTCTCCTTTTTTTTCCACCCTGTACATATGTTTCTTGGGGTCTAATTCTCTTTAAGAAATTTGTGTCTTTTCCTTTTACTATATCCTTTGCAAAGAGAACATGAGAAAAACAAAAAATAAAATATGTCATCACCGTTGTGGGATCATTCAGTACACCCCAAGCATCAGTATTACTATCCTTGCATGGAGCCCTTTATTTTCCCCAATACAGCTAAGAATGCAAATATACATACATATATATACAGATATGTTTATATGTATATATTTTTCTCTTAGAATTCATCACCAGCCTTATTATCTTATTAGCTTTAATTTTTTTGATATCATTCTAAATGATTGTGCTCCCTTCCTCCCTTTATTCCTTCCTTCCTTCCTTCCTTCATTCAACTATTCTGGAAAGCAATTTGGAACTATACCCTAAGGGCTATAAAATCCTTTGTCCAAGAAACACCATTACTAAGTCTGTATTCCAAAGAGATTTAAAAAAAAAAAAAGGAAAAGACCTGCATGTACAAACATATTTATAGCAATTCTTTCAGTGTTGTCAAAGATTTGGAAATTAAGGGGTTTCCATCAATTGTGAAATGTTAAACACAAGTTGCATATGATTAGGATGGAATACTATTTTGCTATGTATGCTCTCAGGAAAAACTGGGAAGACTTACATAAACTGATGCAAAGTGAAATGAGAAGAATCTTGAGGACATTGTATACAGCAACTTACAATATTTTGTAATGATCAAAGGTGAATGACTTAGTTATCCTCAGAAATACAACGATCCAAGACAATTCACAAAGACTTATGATGAAAAATGCTATCCATCTCCAGAGAAAGGAATTATGAAATCTAAAAGCAGATTGAAACATACTTTTTCTTTATTTTTTTTTGTCTTTTGTCTGTTTTCTTTCACAGCATGAATAGCATAGAAATATGTTCTGCATTGCTGCACGCGTATAACATACATCAAATCGTTTGCTTTCTCAATGAGGGGGAGAGGGAGGGAAAGAAAAATAAGCATAAACTTAATTTTTTAAATGTTAGATTTTACATGAAATTGAGGGAAAATAAAATATTAACTAAAAAAAAGAATTGGCCAAATGGAAAAAGAAGTACAAAAAAAAATCTCACTTCAGAAAATAACTCCTTAAAAATTAAAATAGGTAAATTGAAGCTAATGACTCCATGCTTCATCAAGAAAAAATAAAACAAAGTCATAAGAATGAAAAAAAAAAGAAAATGTGAAATATCAGAAAAAATCTGGCCTGGTAAATAGGTAATTAAAGAATTATTGGACTACCTAAAAGTCATAATCAAAGGAATAACCTATACAATATATTTCAAGAAATTATCAAGGAAAACTGCCCTGAAATTCTACAGCCAGAGGGCAAAATAGAAATCAAAGGAATTTATCAATTACTTCCTGAAAGAGATCCCACAATAAAACCTCTCAAGAGTAAAATATCCAAATTCCATGACTCTCAGGTAACCCAGAAAATACAAACATGAAGAAAGAAACAAGTTAAACAAAGTCAGTTTCACACCAGTTTAAGTGGTTTCCAGGATAAGGGAATAGAAGGTTTGGAAAATGATATGCCTAAAGGCAAAGGAGCTAGGATTACAACCAAAAATAAACTCCCCTGAAAACAGTGTAATCTTTCAAAAGAAAATGGATTTTTAATGAAATGGAGGACTTTTAAGCATTCCTGATGAAAAACTATAGCTGAATAGAAAATTTGACATTCAAACACAAGATTCAAGAGAAGGATATAAAGATAAATATGGAAGAGTAATCACAAGGGGCTCAATAACATTAAATTGTTTACATTCCTATATGGGTGATGATGATAATGATGATGATGATGATGATGATGACACACACTCATTTTATATACAAATTTGAGAGAAAAGTTAATAAAGGAGAAGATGATCAGAAATGTCAAAGGCTGCAGATGAGGATAGAGAAAAGGTTATTAGATTTGATCATTAAGAAATTATTGTTAACTTTGAAAAGAACTGTTTCAATTGATGAATTTGGAAGCTAAATTACAAAAATAAATTAAAAACAGAGAAGACATGAAGTCAAAGAAACAATTGGACATAGCCTTCTCAAAGAGTTTATCCATGAATGGGAGAAGAAATATAATATGATGAATATCAGGGATTGATTGAAGAGAATTTTTTATTTGTTTCCTCTTGATTTTTTTTTAGATGGAGGGAATATGAGCATATATCTAGATATTATGTAAGCAACAAATAATTAAGGAGAGATTACTCAGTGAGTACAAGTTATAGAGGTAGAAATCTGCTGGAGAAAATGAGATGGAAAGGCGCCAATAGTGCATATAGATGGGTTAGTCTTTGCAATGAGAATGGCCACCTGTTTGTACGGAACAGAAGTAGAAGAAAATGAAGCAGAAGACAACTGAATGATGTGAGATGAGGAAGGGAAAAAAGGGAGTTCTTAGTGAATGAGCTCAAGTTTTTCAATGAAATGTAAGTCAACTTTCACAACTGAGAGGGAGAGGTAGGTCAAACTATGAGGAGGAAAGAAAAGATTTGGAAAGGATGTTGTGGTATATATAACAATGAGTCAATTAGGAAGTGACAACCAGACTGTAACCAGCCCCAAACAAAGCAGGTTAGAGACAGGAGAGTAAGGAATCAAAATGAAGTTTAATTTCGGAGGGTGGAAAAATAGGGTTGTAAATTGATGACCCCATAAGAAGGGGAGCTTGTGGTAGGGTAGGGCTTTTATACATGAAAAGCACAAAAAGGCAGGGCCCAAAGCAGTCTTGAGAAGGGGTGGGGAACGTGTGGCCTCAAGGACATATATGGCCCTCTAGGTCCTCAGCTACAGCCCTTTCACTGAATCTAAATTTCACAGAAAAAATCCCCTTAATAAAATCGTGAGTAAACAGTTCCCATGCTTGGCATTTCTTTGGACAATAAAGGTGTTCTTGGGTCCCCAAGTTATTAGAATCATTGAGCCTTTTGATTGTCTGAAGTACTAAAGTTTATTGAGTCTTCTGATATTTCAACAGGGTTTAGAACCAGAGTTAATGTAGTGGGAACAGGAGTGCAGCACCTGGTTCAGTTCACTTAACAGTTTTGAACACAGGGATTTTTGGAGCATCAGGAGATTTGATTGATAACTTTTTCTGGCAGCATGTCAGCTGCTTCTGATTCCCAGGTCAAAAGGAAATATGGAAGTTCCAACAAGTTTAAATGGTTATGGATTAATATGAAAAGCATAAATCCCTCAGAGAACATCGGGTGCTGGTCAAAGTAATAGATTTAAAAAAATGAAAAATTAGAAAAAATTAAATTTAAAAAATTAAAATAAAAAAGTTAATACATTTTGCTAGAGAGCAAGATCATCCAGAGGGTGAATTCAAAGGATTGTTGTCATTGATAATCTTAGAGCACCTTACCTCTGGAAAATAGGGTATCTCCAAACATCCTGACAGAACTTATAGAAGAATTATCGTTTTACAGTGAGCATCCAGTTCCTATCATATACACATAAGTCGGTAGTAGATGCAGTCAACATACTTTTAATATTTTCTTCAACTTTGTTCAGTAGTAGCTGAATAGGAGTGAAGGTTAAAGTAATCTAAGGCTCAGTCTCACAAGATGCAAGGCCTTCAATAGGATAAATGAAAGAAAAAAATAAGTACCTTTCAAGAAAAGGGAACAACAGGGGCAGCTAGGTGGCACAGTAGATAGAACACTGGCCCTGAAGTTAGGAGGGCCAGACTCAACGTTTTGCACTACTTAAATGTAGGAGGTAAGGTTTAGTAAACCAAGGAAAAGTCCCAAGGACTCTGGGAGAACGAGTGGTATCATGCTGGGGACTGTGAGAAGGGAGAGCACACCGCAGGAGAAGCCCAGTCGTCTCTGCCCGAGCAAGGGTGTTTACTGAACCAGCTCTGCTGCCCTCAACACCATGGCTCTGGCTCGCCCAGTTACATGGGGGGCTAAGTGTCATCAGTTAACCAATGACTTATCATTTCAGGGATGTTCCGTGTTCATTCTACTTCGCTGGCTACTCTAGGCCGTGCACAAGTAACACACAGAATGTCTGTAGATGGGAGGCCCTGCCCATGCAGGCAGAGCCAGAGCTGTTTTCTGGATGGCGCCTGGCTTACCGTTAGGAGAAGTGGCTGCTGGAGAAACAGATAGCACATACTGAAAGGAACAGCCTCCCTACCGGAAAGCAGTGATGAGATCTGTCATAAAATAAACAACCCTACAATGCAAAAAGAATCACAAATCTAATCTATTCATAAATCACATATTTAATAATGGATCATATAGCCAAGTTCACCTACATGCTTGTGTATCCACTAATCTATTCCTCATGCCCTCCTTCCCCAAAATAGAAAGATTAATGCACATGTAATTTTCAAGGGATATTTCCGAAGTGAGAGAAAGAAAACCATAACTTCTTCCCTCCATGTTTCAGAAAAATAAGTAATGCTCGGGGTCCTTAGGGTCCCAATGAATAAAAATTAAATTTCTTAGCCAAAGGAGAAGAGCATTGTCCTGTATATAGAAACAGTAAGTGTTGCATTTTACATTGAACCAAGCATTTGGCAATGTTTGCACAATTAAGTATACTTTGAATGGTGGCCTTCATAAACATTGACTATATAAGAGCTATTTTTAGCCTAATAAAATGGGGGAAAATAGACTGTGGAAAACAGCTGAAAACAGAGCCCAGAGAGGGCTGGGCGTCTTGCTGTTGAGGAAAGGAATTCGATTCGATTCACATGCAAGAAAGAAAAGGACCCTTCCTCCTTCCTTTCCCTAAACAGAAATACAGACGTTTATGGTGACCTATGGACAGCAGAGGAGCCAAGATTCCAAGGTGGCAATGCCACCTTGTTTAATTCCTCATCCGCAATGCCACGGGAGAGAACACCTGGCCGCAGCCCTCACTGCAGGCAGCTCCAGTCTCTGCCCAAGTACTCACTACATCATTGGTGATCCCACGTTTGGTTTTGCCATCCAAAGAGCGTTTTTTTTTTTAAAGCCCATCAGGATTTTCATAATAATAACAATAATAATAATAATAAACTTCAATAGGCATGGACACACTTCAAATTTTACATGTTATATGAAGAACGTTCACCTATATGGTTAGTCCAATTTCCACCAAGACTAGATAAGAAATCTCTTCTTCCTCACCCTGAAATCTAATCAAGTACAAGGGAAAGCCAAAATGATTAGTAAAGAAAATAACTTTATGCACGCTTTCCTTTCTCCTTTGCGTAATTTTAAGGTTTTGGAAAATGCTTTTGTGTTTCTTAAGTTTATGATTCAGAGTAGGACAACATTATCTGCTGGACTAATGGCCAACCAAGCACTGTAAAATGTTGCTGTTGCACTGGGGGTGGGGGGATTACCTTCCAAGCTCGCCAGTTTTCTTCATCAGAAGGTCAGAGGTACATTTGGTTTGTATTATTGCGAGGTCCATCAAGTGATCTGGTTTTTTTTTTCTGTCAGTAAGGGCTTTATTTTTTAAAAGGGCATTTATGCTTGACCTGCAAATTTGGCTGACAATTTGGGTTGCTCTGATACTTGGACATGCTCGCAGGGTTCCGTGCCACATCCTGGAATGACACCATCACCCGCATGGCTGCAAGCACTTCTGGGTAACTAAGAATCTCTGAGCCCGGGCATTCCTGACATCCCCGGCACGGCTCCTCCCATGCCAGGCACGCCTCCAAAGTTCCCAGGCATACCTCCAGGAAAACCTGGAAAAGAGCCAAACCGGGCTCCCGAGGCTCGCCGGGCTTCTTCCTCCCTGGGCTCGCTCATGCTCCTCCCGAGCCTTCTTCACCCTTTCTAGCCTTTCTTTGCTCTCTCGCTCCTCACGTTTTCTTTCGCATTTTCGCCGATGCTCGGCAATCTTCTGGGCCCTCGGCTGGACTTCCTTCAGGGTAGCACCGGCATCTTCACTGTAGTCCGGTTTGCCAAGATCACGGGCTCACTCCTCCCGGGGGCCGAGGAGTCCGTGGGCCTTCCCTCGCCATTTGTGGGGCTGCCCCGAGTCTGGGTTTATTTCAGTCCCTCTGTCACAATCTCTAATAGCAGCATTGGGTCTTTGAAGTTTAATAAAGGTAGTAGCTCTCTTAGCACACAAAATGGCCAAACAGGCATTCAGTTTGATGGACTCTGTGAGTAACTGAATGGCAGTCTTAAGATCACCACCATTGAGAGCGTCGGTGGCCGCCACTTTCTTCTCATTAGCCCGATCCATCAACTCTGTTATGTCGGCAGTTTCATCTCCCATTTCCCGAGGGGAATCTGTATCTGCTTCCATCACTCAAGCTCTTCTAGTTTGGGGGAGTCCTCGGGTTTCTTACTTTCAGTCTTTTCCTCCTTGATTTTTTCTTCTGACTTCGCTTTATGTGGAGCGGGTGGGATTTTACCTCCCCCCCAATCTCCACTCAGTCCCGGAGGAACCGCAGCTCGTTCGTGTGCAGAAGGCCCGGGTGCTGCTGGCAGAGCCTGATGAAGGCCTGGAGCTCGCTGAGCTTGGGGCTGTCCACGTTGGCCTGAGGCGGAGCCGAGGGCAGGGCCGGGGTGGCGGGCTCTGGAGACGGAGGAGGAGGGCCCCGAAAATATTCTTGCTCCCTTGTGACATCACAGTCACCTGGCATGTGCTCGCTCCTCCTCACCCACACCCATAGCCAGGGCTCATGTCTGGTCAGCGCTGCCAGGCCTGACTTCCAGAAACATCAGGGGATCCCTTCAATCTTCCCTCATTCAGCTATCTGCTGTTCTTCATCTGAAAGTTTGTGGGGTCAAAGTTTATAAGGTGAAAGTTCCTAAGGTGAAATTTCTTGAGGCTATGAATGATATGAAAGTTGAGATAAAACTTCTTAAAGTCTAGTGTGCTTGCTTCAGGGCTTTCTGCGTGTTGATTCAGTGGAGCTGGTCTAGAGGTGTTTCTACTTCACTCAGACCAAACCTCAGGCTCTAGAGTCTTCCCCTGAGGAGGACAACTGCTTTATCCCTTCATTTTTACTGTTCTATATTCATTTCTTTTGATGTTCTGTTTGTGGAGGAAATCTGGAAAACCTGGAAATTTCTGAAATTCTCTGCCATGTTCCCAGAATATGTCATAACACATAGCACCCTCTGACCATGATCAGAATACAGGAAATGAAATATTGATATCTGAATTTGACTACAGATAATTCATATTGAAAATTTTATTGATCTCTTTTTTTTTTCCTAAGCAACTCAGAGAGGTAACAAGGGCACAGTACTGAGATGTATGTTCCATTTCATCTTTAGAACGAGAGAGAAGGGAAAAACAAAACAAAACATGGAATTAGTAATTGTAGAGGTGTCTGGCAAGCCATGGGACTACTGTAGCCTCATGGTTGTCTGTATCAGGCCCTTTTATGACAGGGAAGAAAGACAATATTTTTTGGAAGTCACCTGTCTCTCTCAGAGAACTTAGAAATACAGCCACCAAATTTATCACCTTCACCCATTCCTCTTACTTTTGGTTTATCAGGAGTCCATTTCAATAGTTCTTTTGTTGTATAATAATTATTTTATTATTAATATAATTTTTTCATCTTTTTTATAATGTTGAGTAATCTCAATCAAATAAATTCCTAATTGCAAAAATATATTCTCCTAGGTACCTAGTTATGACACAAGTTACTTGCTTTATCCATGTAAGTCCATCTAAACCTTTCAGAGCATTTCTTACAAATATAACCTGACCTGTAATGTCTATACATTTCTACCACTTATTTTTTTTATTTTTTTTAGGGAACTGTGGTTAAGTGACTTGCCTAGGGTCACACAGCTAGTAAGTGTTAAGTGTTTAGTCTGAGGTCTAATTTGAACTCAGGTCCTCCTGACTTCAGGGCTGGTGCTCTATCCACCGCACCCTTTCTACCCTTTCTGCCCTTTCTACCACTTCTTAAGTGAATGGTATTCAAATCAGCAACAGCATTGCAATAAAAAAGTGTGATTTAATATATTGCCAGAGGCCTTCACTCACAAAGCCCGTGATTCCTCAGATCAAAATCATATGCAATATCACTTCTTTTTAGTATATAAAGTCTTGGAGGACACAGAGTATTAAAAAGAAGAAAAAATATATTACTATTCCATATCAGAGCCTCTGGCAGAGAGTAGCCACTTAATCCATTTTTTTTTTAATTCATTCAAGTGATTATCTTTGATGGATGTCATATTGCTGACAGCTTAAGAAATAAAAGAGAACTAATTTGGAAGCTATGATATTCAGTAAAAAGAGTGCTCCTTAAGAGTCAAAACATTTGAGTCCAAATCCAAATCCGAAGTTTAACATCTCCCAGCTTAACTGGAGAAAATAGTACAGGGATATACAGATCAATCACAACATGCCTTTATTAAATACATTCACGGGTTCTTTTTGGAAAGTGTATCATTTTTGATTCCACTGCTAAGCATGTAACCAAGGAGATCATTGGCAAAAAGGAAGCCTCTGTATACAACAAAATATGTATAGTAGCGCTTTTTTTCAGTAGTAAAGGCATGGATACAAAGTTTATGTCATCAGTTGGGGAATGGAGTAAAAATTGGGATATATGAATATTGTTGTGTTGTAAGAAATAATGGGAGGCAGCCAGGTGGCACAGTAGATACAGCACCCGCCCTGGAGTCAGGAGGACCTGAGTTCAAATCCCGACGCAGACAATTGATACATACTAGCTGTGTTACGGGGGCAAGTCACTTAACCCCATTGCCTAGAAAAAAACAAAAATAAGAAAAAAAAATAATGAACATGTCAAATACAGGCAAGCATGGAAACACATGAATCGATATAAAGGGAAGGGAAGTAAATGGAGCTAAAAAAAAGAGCTAATAATAATTACATTGACAAAATAACAATAATAGTGTACATGTGCAGAATAATATTAGTGGAAACAATAACAACTAGAAAACAACTAAAGATTAATATTGTGGACTTATAAAGAATAATTTGGTACTATAAAGGTGTATATGAAGACATCTCACTCCTTTGTAGAGGTGGAGATGAGAGAAATTCATCTATGTGAAGCATTATATTATATAAAATATCTGTCTTAGAGACTATAACCCTTGCCAAATTCTAGTCTATCCAATAAGTAAGGAGCTATTATTTAGGAACAATTAATTACCTGTTAGATTGATTTTTACTACAAATTCTATGACAGTAGCTCAATGAGGAAGCATATTATCATGACAGATAATTTTAGTGAGTAAAATTTTTGATATTCATTAATTTCCTGAGGGTTTCTGTTATATCTTTGTTTCTCAGACTGTAAATTAGTGGATTTAGCATGGGAATTACAACAGTATAAAAAACTGAGGTTACTCTAACTATGAGCCATGAGCTTTTGGAATTAGGAACACAGTAGAGGAAGAGAATAGTCCCATAGAAGATGGTAACAGCTGTCAGGTGGGAGGCACAGGTGGAGAAAGCCTTACGTCTCCCACTCGCTGAATGCATTTTCAGAATGGTGACAAAAATACAAATATAGGATGTGAGGATAATGAAGAGACTGCAAAGTGCATTAAAGTTAGCAACAATAAAAAGTATTATTTCGCTAAAGTGTTTATCAGAGCAAGAGACTGAGAGGATGACAGAATACTCACAGAGAAAATTATTAATAACTTTAGTTCCACAAAATGACAATACAATGAGAGAGTAGGTAAATATTAGAGAAGAAGTTGTGCCCCATAAATATGCTACAGCCACCAGAAGGGCAGAAAGTTTCTGTGACATGGAAACAGAGTAAAGCAGGGGTTTGTAAATGGCGATGAAACGGTCATAGGCCATCACTGCCAGTAGGAATGTCTCTGTCACCACAAAGGTAGCAGTGAAAAAGAACTGTGTGATGCAAGCCTCGATGGAGATAGTTCTGTCTTCCACAATTAGGCTTTCTAACAGCCTAGGTGTGACTCCAGTGGAGTAACAAAAGTCCACAAAGGATAAGTGGCTGAGGAAAAAGTACATGGGGGTATGGAGTTTGGGGGTGATCCTGATGATCACGATCATGCCTAGATTCCCCACCACAGTGACCACATAGATGGTCAAGAACACTAGAAAGAGGGGGACTTGGAGGTCCGGATAATCTGAGAATCCCAAAAGGATAAATATGACTGAAGCACTCTGATTCTTGTCACTGGTTCTCATGGCTCCTCTTGAAAACAATTCAAAATAAATTCTGAGGATAAAATGAAATAAAATTAGTTATTCAGGGAGTGTAGGGAATGAAATCCTAAACTGAGGACAATTTATTGTTGAAATATATTTTGGAAATAACATTGGTTAATTTTAAAATAAGTATTACTGGAAATGATATTTTCATTTTGAGAAAAAATGGACATAACAGAAAGAGAAGAGAGAGAGAGAGAGAGAGAGGAGAGAGAGAGAGAGAGAGAGAGAGAGAGAGAGAGAGAGAGAAAGAGAATTAAATTTAATACAGAGACAGGTTCTATTCTGAATTCAGAAGTCATCTAGCCCACCTTTTTCTGAGATCATTGGCAGGTCTATATCTAACCAATGCTTAAAACCTCAAGGCAGGAGGAAGCCACTACTTCTTGCCGCAGCCTCTTTCATTTTTCAATAGATTTCATTAACAGTCATGTGATGTCAGGCGGATCTGAGTTCAGGTGTTGTCTCTGATATATACTAGTTGTTAAACTCTGAGTACGTCACTTTATCTCTTAGTGCTTCAGATAACACTCTAAGACTAAACTATAGCAGAGTTCAAGATCTGTGTGGGTAGCACTTTGCTCAGAAGGAGCAAATTCTTTTACCAACATCTCTGCATAAGATGAATTCAAAGATCTGAACAAGAAAAAGCAATGCATTAGGAGAAAGCATTTCCTCATACATTCACAATTGTCTTTTTTTTTTAACCATTTGACTATAGTCTACATGCTAAAAGAAACAAGAACTAGAGCAATCCCTTTTGCACATTAAACCTCTTCATATTTCTGAAGTGGTAACGCTAATACCTCCACCCTGATGTGTCTTTCTCTCAAGGGGAGGAAAAATGGAAAACTCACAGAGAGATTTGTCTTTGCGTCAGTGAAATGTGCATGTAGCTTTAGGGGACTGCAGTAGAAGGAAGTCAGTGAGGGATGAGCCTGTGCTCAGATTGGCAAGAGTCTTCCAAAGTTAGCTTCAGGCAGACCCAGCAGTCTACTGCTCCCCATTCATCTTCATGCTATACTGCTTTCTTTTAATGCATGCACTCCCTTTTGACACCTCTAGCTTTGGGAACAGTACTCAAGTAAATATCGCCATTTCTAGAAACTTCATCTCAACGAATTGCTCTCTAGATCTACTCACCATCTTTATGCCTCCCAAATTTAAAATACTCCTACCAGGCCATCACAATCTTATGAATATCATCTTTCATTATTAGAATAATAGCTTACTGTGTGTGTGTTGGTTTTAAAATTTGTACCTTCAGTGGATATTTATTTGTATTAGCACATTGACACATGGCAAAGAGTAAACACATTTAAAAAAATCATTCGTATGCATATCCTTAATATAATAAACAACAACAGACAAAACCACGAGAAAAGTACTATCTAACAGCAGAATTGTTAACTAGACAATGTCTGCCTTTGGTACGCACCCCCATGTACTTTCTCTCCTCTTGATGCTCTGTGTCACCCTTTTATCATCATTTTTCTTAAGTTGACTAAGTTCTCTCCAGTCTATTTAAAAATGATTCAGCAAGGCACTAGCATAATGAGTGGATAATTAAATATTACACCAACAGCACCTAGTGCTGGCAGAAATTTTAGGAACAGAAGATTTATTGAAAAGAGTAGAACAGAATGAGGTACAATAAGAAAGAGGGGGCACGGAACTTGTGTCATAGTATACAGAATGCAATCTTTGGAGTTAGAAAGTTTATGTTCATTTTCCAAGTATTCCATCTAGTAGTTACGTGACATTAGAACAGTCACTGAAACTTTCTTGCCCTTATTTTCTTCATTTGAAAAATAATAGATTAAATTAGAAAAAAAAATATGTGTAAGTTCCTTTCCCTTCCTGTTCTTTTATAGTCTTTGTTCTAAGGTCCCTTCCAGATGTATATTAAATAATGTTATTATTTCAGTTTTTTAAAAATACTAGAAAAGCAGCACCAAGAGAAATAGAAAAAGTCCTTTAAGGAAAATCCTAAATCAAGCTATCTGTAGAGGTTTCTTTCTTTTTTTTTTGTTTATTTTTTTTTAGGCAATTGAGGTTAAGTGACTTGCCCAGGGTGTTTGGTCTGAGTTGAATTTGAACTCAGGTCCTCCTGACTTCAGGGCCAGTGCTCTATCCACTATGCCACCTAGCTGCCCCATAGGGATTTCTTTATAGCTGGTATCAACAGTGAAGAGGAAAAAAAAAACATCTCAAAGGCATTAGAAGGAAACAAACAAAAAAACAGTATTTCATTTTGGGGGACTTGGGTTCTGATGTGAGCATTTTCTCCTTCCCTGCTAAAAATGATTTATGTCAAACCCTTGACATCACACTAGGAAGTATTATACTTATGTCAAAAAGAAGTCATCAAAAAGTGTTTATTTTTTAAACTTCCTTGGAAAGAACATTTCTATATGATTCCCTTCTACTTACCATGACGCTGAGGCAATTGAAAATACTTTTAAACTTGGGTTTACATACTTCTTAATTTATTTATGTTCTCTTAAGCTTCCATCAATAATCTTTGTAGCACCTGCCTGATATTGTGTGCTTTCAAAATTCTTAGAAATGGGCAGTCGCTTTGTAATAGGTCAATATGTGGACATAGGGACATCTCCATGAGATTATCACAGCAGTCCATAACCTGGAGGCTTAGAGAGTTCCTTCAGGATTCCTTCGTCCACTGACTTTGTCAGGGTTCCTCATTAAATGCTTCAGAGACAGAATTTCAACATGGATCTTCCAGATTCCAAATATAACTGTTTCTTCACTGTACCAAGCAGCTTTCCCCTGCTATGACAAATGCACAGAATAGTAAAGGGACGAAGTACCAAGGAGAGCTTGAGGGGCTGTATCCTTATACAGTAATATTTTCCTTACTGTTTTCTACTCTCTGCATTTTTGATGACTTCATTGGGATGTGTGAGCCCCATGGTTTCATTGTTGTGGTTGTTGTTGTTGTTGTGCAGTCATTCAGCTATGTTCTACTTTTTGGATCTCGGTGACCCGAGCATTACTGGCCCTTTTAGCCTCCACCATCTGCCAAAGTCTGACCAAGCTGATGTTCATGGCTTTGATGACACTGTCTACTCTGTGATCTTACAATATGACTATGGGATGATAGGTTCAGCTTTAGGATCAATGAATCAGAGATCTAGAGCTGGAAGTTACCTTAGTTCACCCCCTTATTTGAAAGATGAAGAACTTGAAAATGATAGAAGTTGAATGACTGACTGAGCAGGTAAAGGGAGGGAAGTGAGTGACAGAGTGAAAAGAAGGCTGGATTCGAAGCCAGACGACATGGTTTGAAATCCTGACTCGATCACATTATTTGTGCGTCTAAGGGGAAGTCACTTAATAGCTCTAGATGTCCTTTTTCTAGTCTGAAAATGAGAGCCCTTGTGCACGCTAACATTGCTTTTGAATCTTAATTTATCATCTCATGAATAAAGTAGCAGAGCTGAAATTCACATCCGGGACCTTTAGATCCAATTCCATGTACTTTTAACTGTATGATATTCCATTGTCCGTCATCTACTAAGGGAATAGATCTGTTTCACATAAAATTGCAAATCAAATTCCATTAACTATTCTTTATGAACTCCTCAGATTTTACCTTGACTTCTTTTTCTTTTTTTTTTCTTTTTTCAAAATGAGGGGATTTAATAGGTGATAGATTCTGATTTCACTTACAGCTGTTGATCATTGGTGATATGATCCTTGGGAAACTAAGGCTTCAAGGGTTTGATGCATTATTTTAGGATCTCATGGATTGTAACCTCCCAATTACATCTCTTTAGAAAACATGGTTTTATCTAAAACTGACCTTTAATACTTTATGTCATCAACCAAATATACTTTCCTGTCTTCACATATTTGGTCTATGTTTCTTGACTTAACACCTTAATTTTTTTCTCTTTTTCTCTAAGTCTTAACTCTTCTGCAAGGATTGCTCAGATCTCTCCTATTTGCAAAGCCTTTCAGTACAGTTCCCTGAAAATTTATTCCTCTCTCCTCTCAATACCTGATGCCTGTTTTCTGTGTGTGATTCTTAGTGGGTCCTTTGTGTATCCTCTTGATATCCAAAGCAGAACTGATTACCAAAATTTTCATGTCCCACTTGCTCATTAGATTGTGAGCCCACCCAAGATCATATAGTCTGACCCTGCCTTTTTTTTCTCCCTAGGTAATAAAAAATGAGCAATAGATGGAAGAGGAAAAGGAAAATGAAGAGGGTGAAGATAATTTGGAAGGGATATAATAAGAAGGAAGAGGAGAAAATTGCCTTGGTAATTTTGTCTTCTACTTGCTTTCTCTCTTAAACTACAGATGACTTGTGGGAAGGAGGTGGGGGGGGGGAAGGTGAGGCAGAGGGACATCTTTCCCTTCTGATCTGAAGCACTGACATGAGAAAGGAGTCCAATTCAAAGTATTTCTACTCACCAGAAAGTTGACTACTTGACTTGATTATCTCTAAATCTGTTGTGTTGTGATTAATGAGCCTGATGTCAAATTGGAAGGTGACATGGTGTTCTCGGAAGTAGACTGGGAGCCAGAAGACATGAGTTGGCATTCCAGAACAACCACTTATTAGTAGTATTGCTTAAGAATTTTTTTCTCCTTCCATCCATCAAAGGAGGAGTCTGGACACCATAATAGCAAAAGTCCCTTTCAGCCCTGGGATACTTTGATGCTCTAATTCCAAGATTCTGCTTCTATTGTTCTAAACTGCTTTTTTTTTTTTTAAACTAATAGGTAGGCTAGTGAAAGGAGCACAGAGTACACTAATATAGAACATTAAATACTTTTCTGTGACCCTGGTAAAACAGTCATTTCAGACTAATTCATAGAGTGAACAGAAAGCAAGAGAAAGTTTATGTTATTGTGTCAGGAAGTTTAGTCTGAGGAGAATGCTATGGATCGTATATGTGGCTACAGGACCTTTGGGACCTAATATCTAGAGAATCTCCACTGACCTCTTCTCTGGGAGTAACACAGCTCATCATTAAATGCAACTCTGAGTCTCCACTGTCCCTTTTACAGAATTCATTTTTTAATCACAGAGGATAAGTACAGTAGAGGCTTTTCCATGAAAATCATTTGCAGCTGGCCAAAATATCTTTTGAAAATATAAATGCAAAGCACCGCTAAGGTAATGCAATAATGGAAAAATTTGATAAAGGCCAGCATTTTAATAAATGATGTATCCAATCAGATTTCTGGACAGAAGATGGCCCCTGTCATTCTCGCCCACACACATACACAGGATAAACAACATATCATACTGCAGGGTGGGAGAAACGCTCTGTTACCCTGTGACCAAAAGATAATTTCTATGTCATCATCATCATCATCATCATCATCATCATCATCATCATCATCATCATCTTCTTCTTCTTCTTCTTCTTCTCCTCCTCTCCTCCTCCTCCTCCTCCTCCTCCTCCTCCTTCTTCTTCTCCTTCTTCTGTCAATCAATCACCAATATATTGCAATAAGGTTTGCTAAGTGATTTTTATTTGTCCTCATTTTACATCAAAAATCTCTACTTGGTAACGCTGGAACTAAAAGATCCAAGAATTAGAGGCTCTGCTCTGGGCATATTGTTGCTTTTTTCTTCTGACTAAGTTTAGCGTACCTGAATTTAACATTCAATCCCCTTTGTCAATTCTTCTTCTTAACGTGTATCTGCATTTCTTTAGTGGAAACCATGTTTCCTTCTCCTCAAAGAAGAAATTATCTTTTTATGTCAGTTATGACCTTCTTGGCTGTGTTTGAAGCACAAATGATACTGAAATGGAATGTATAAGGCACAATGTCATGAATAAAATTATGGTCCAAATAAAAACTCCAACACTACTATTTGCAAAAATAACAGTAATAACTTTAAGTTTTATAGAAGGTTTAGTTTACAATTTAAAAATTACTAAACTCACAACACTGCTATAATTATGATGGAAAGAGTCAGCAGAAAATATCTCCAGAGCTGGGGCAGAGTGGGCCTGGAGTTCTGCATCCCTGTACACACACACACACACACACACACACACACACACACACACACACACATACACATACTCAAATGCATATAAAAACATAAATGCATATAAATGTTATTTCATTTGTAAGTTTCTTAAGGTCAGAAAGTGTCTTACTCTTTTATATGCAGCTCTAGCCCCTAACACATCGAGCACATTGTTGTTTTCCACTGGTCTCAGCCATGTATGATTCTTCATGTCCCCATTCGGAATTTTCTTGGTAAAGATACTCTATTCATTTTCTATTACCTTCTCCTGCTTATTTTACAAACAGCGAAATTGAGGCAAACAGAGCTACATGACTAGCCCAGGGTCACAGAGTTAGTGTCAGAGGCCAAATATGAACTCATGAAGATGCGTCTTCATGACTCCAGGCTTGGCATTCTACATATTGTGCCACCTAGCAGTCACTATCATGTAGTAGGCCCTTAATAAGGTCACGTAAGTGACAGAGATAACGTTTGTGTCCAGGTTTTCTTGATTCTGAGGTTAGCCATCTATTCAGTGTACTGCTTTTCTTCTACTACCTGGAAAAATCTGATATTGAAACATGACATAACCCTGACCTTATGAAGTTTATAACCTAAGAGTGAGGCAATACATACATGTCTATATTTGTTTGTGGGTATATGTACGTGTGTGTGTGTATATATATATATGTATATATATATATATATATATACATACATATATATATACATATACATATATATACATATATATACACATATACATATACATACATATATATACATATACATATGTATATATATACATATATATGTATATATATATGTGTATATATATGTATATATATATGATCTATCCATATAAAGAGATCTACAGTTGTGATGGAATCACGTTCTTATTAAAGAATTAGTCACCTTCTACTAAGTTTGCAGTATGGAAGAATAAGATGAGAATTAAAATACTATGTAACAGGGGAAAAAAATTCTATCAAAATAGGCTGACATCCATCAATCAACAAGGATGTATTAAGTATATTTCAGTGCTGGAGATACAAAAAAAATTAGGAGGGAACCATCTATTTTAAGGTGCTTGCATTCTAATATCGTAGTGATAATAATAGCAATTTATATTTTAAAACTTTTTAATTTGTTAAGTTGTTTGGTAATAATAAGCCTAAAATGTACTCATGTTTGCCCAAAATCGCTTGAATATCTTCAAAAGAGTAATCCTGGTGATCATCACCCCTAGAATCTAACATTCAATTATCTATTAAGTATTTCTATGTTCCAGGCACTATTCCACGCAATAGAAGTACAAATACAAACAGCGAGAAACACAGGCCGTGTCCTCAAAGAGCTTACATTCTAATGTGTAAAGACAAAAATGAGAGGAATCTGAAAGAGCCTACAAAGTAGCCTTCCTCTGAATTCTCCCTGATCTCTATATCATTCATCATATCTCTTTTTTTTTTCTACTTCTGTCTAGGCAATGGGGTTAAATGACTTGCCCAGGGTCACATAGCTAGTAAGTGTTAAGTGTCTGAGGTCAGATTTGAACTCATGTCCTCCTGAATCCAGAGCTGGTGTTCTATCCACTGCACCACCCAGCTGCCCCCATTCATCATATCTCAACTTCACCTGGGCCTCCCCCATATTCAGCATAGGCTTCTCTAATAACATGGAGAGCTATGTGGAAAGGCGGGAATGTAGGAATGAAGAGGGGATCACAATATTTTCTAGAACAGAAAGTAGGGAAAGGACTCTGGAAGGAAGAATTAGTGGAACATGAGATATAAACTCTGCAGTTAATCCAGAGCAACAAGCAACCAAAATGGCACTAAAGAAACACTCGCAAGAAAAGGGCGGGATTTCCAAAGGAAGGAGAGTGAACCACTACAGGAGCCCAGCCCTTCATCATAGATCAAGACAACGAAGGAATACAAGCACACTATGGAAAGGAGGGAACAGGGCACAGAAAGGCAATCTAGATCACGGTTTCTTCAAATTTTTCCAATCACAACCCGTTTTTGCCCCACAAATTTTTATGTGGCGCCAGGTATATAGGTATATGAAACAGGCATGCAAATAAAACATTGTCTGATAATAAATTACAAAGAAATATATTTTAAAACAATAGCTTGGTATGCATAGACTTTTATCATTTATTAAAAGTGAAAGCAAATTTGCATGTTCATGAGATGGATGTACTTATTTATTTTTACATAGAAAATTAAATCTTGGCAGAATCTTTGATACTGCAGGATTCAGAGCTTCTTCAAAGTTTTTTGGAGTTGATCAATATTTTGATTTTATAATCTTCAATGCTGAGCATGCCGCTTCACATGAAATACATAGTACAAAATGACACAAACAGGTTTAGGGCCATTTCAGAAATTGTTCGAAAATTTGTCATAATCCCAACCCAAAATTTTCCTGGGTTGATATTTTCTGAAATTTCAGAGGTCAATACGTGAGCATGAGAGCAACTTACTTCTTGCTCTGCTATCTTGGCCCCCAGAATCAGAACCATCAAAAAAAAATGTATTAATGATACTATTTGCACAAAAAGACAATCTAATGAGAGAGTAAATAATATGAGGGAAGAGCTTATTCCCCATACACATGCCCCAGTCAACAGCAGTGTACATCATTTCCAGGACATGGTAATCATATACAAAAGGGGGTCACAAATGACCACAAAATGGTCATAAGCCATTACTGCCTACAAGAAAGGTTCTGTCAATCCATAGGTACCAGTAAAAAAAAATGTAAAGTGTCTAACAGCTTGTGTGTAACTCCAGTGGATTAATAAAAATCCCACAAAGGACAAGTGCTTGACAAAAAAGTAAATGGAGCTGTCCAGTTTGGGGTTGATCTTGATGATCATAATCATGCCCAGATTTCCCAACACTGTGACCACATAGATAATCAGAAATAGAAGGAAGAGGGAGACTTGAAAATTTGAGTAGTCAAAGAATACTAAGAAGATGAATATGACTGCAGCACTCACTTTGCTCACCTTGGTTCCTGTTAAAGAAAACTACAGTATTTTACAGCTGGAAGATTTCAGTGGCTATATACTAAAATTCTAACCTTAAAAAATATCCCTCTACAATATATAACTCTATAAGAGATAGATAATTGGTCATCGAGCTTTTTAGTTGAATACCTTCAAGGAAGGGAAACTGACAAGGTTTCAGGAAAAACCATTTGAAGTGGAGAGCTCTAATTAAGACGGTGCTTAAATATACATTCATTCTAAATTTCCTTACTTGTATTTTCTAA